ACCCCCAATAAAAATGAATTCCATGAATAACACCAGAATTTCTCAGGTTAATGCAACAAATTGCTTGCTTCTGATTCCTTAGTTGAAAATACGTTATCAGATACCAGCTTAAAGCAATAATGAGGTCTCCTCCCCACAGGGGAGGATGAGTGCACCTCCTCAAACATGTTGTGTCATTTTTTACAACATGGGTTGGGGAAACTCATGCCTGCAATCCTCTAGACTTCTCTATCTGTCCCTTGGGACACTCCCCTAGCTGTTTTGGCTGGGAATGGTGGGCGCTGTAGTCCAAAACATCTGGAAGGCACTAGCTTGAAGAAGGCTGGTTTATATTCTGGCCAATTCAAAACAAAATTGTCCATCTGCTCCTGATGGAAACAGAAGCCTCAGTAATGCTGCAGCAAGAGGAGACATCATCTCAGATATTTCAAAAATGATATAGATGATTAGTGTAACTATGACAAATGATACTGGCTTGCTTAGTGCTACTGGTTATGGCTGGTTTCCCACTTGCTTTAACTTTATTGAATTACACATTGTAGATCCTTGTATTACTTATAATAACAAATCTTGACAATAAAATGGAATGATACTCCTTTGTGGTCCCTTTTCCTGAGCCCTGGATAGTAAAGGAGCACAAGAAGCTGATTTCTACCAAGTGAGATGATTGGTCTATCTAGTCTAATTGTGTCCTCACTGTATGGCGGTGCCTCTCAGACCAACTGGAGATGGTGCAGATTGAACCAGAGACCTTCTGCATGCAACGTATAAGCTAAAAACCAGACAGAAACACAAGTCGATGTTCGACATATCTGGAAGGGCTTGCCTAAACAAAAATGTGCTTGGCATTAAATTATATAACCTGGTAGGTTTGCTGGACTGAAAAAACAAAACAAAACAAAACACCAATGCAATGTAACAATGTAATGAGGGTGCCTGCCAATCCCCAGCTCCAGCCTGCATACAGGGTTCCCTCTGCTCTCTGCACTTTCACTGCCCTCAGATAGGATGGAAATATTCAAGAGGTCATTTGCAACCAACTCTGTTGGGGTGCAGTCATCATCATCTTCTCCATTGCCATCATACTGCTACTCATCCTATCTCACCTGCTGCTGCTTATTAGCATCTAAATGACAAATTGGCCCCTCTTTACTTGGAGCACCTGGAAGTTATCCCCAGCATCATCACCTCTCCTGTGTCTTTTGAACGCATTACTTTCACTGTTCTGTTGGAGTTAATGTAACGGATGCTATAGCAAAGCTGATAACATCTTCCTCTTTGAATTGTCTACAAAGCTCCCAGTGTAGGAGAGGACTAAAATATTCAGGAAATAAAAGTTTTGAAGCTATTCAAATGGCTCTTGAGCTTAAAGCGAAGTGACAGGCTAAAAGCATTCAAGGCGGGGGATGCTCTGTTTCCTTCCTTCAGGAGCTTCTTCATTACAAGAGAAAGAAGAGAAAGCAGGAAGACTTTGAAAACAAATGCAAAGAAACCTGTTGGTTCCCCTCATGTATAATTGCAGATATCAAGCATTGTTTATAATGCAGTAATTCCCTTTCCAGACATTGGTCTATGTCTGAATTTGATTGATCAAGATCCCAAATGACTCTGACAGAGATGAGTGGAATCTTCTATCTATATCTATATCTATCTATCTATCTATCTATCTATCTATCTATCTATCTATCTATATCTATCTATCTATCATCTATCATCTATCTATATCTATCTATCTATCTATCTATCTATATCTATCTATCTATCTATCTATCTATCATCTATCTATCTATCTATCATCTATCTATCTATCTCTATCTATCTATCATCTATCTATCATCTCATCTGTCTATGTATTTATCTATCTATCTATCATCTCATCTGTCTATGTATTTATCTATCTATCATCTATCTATCCAGTGCTTCCCCCCCCAAAAAAAATGTTTAGGGGTATTCTCATTTTGACTCAAGAAATCACCATTTTATAATTCAAATCGGGAAAAAGAAATACAGTAAATGGACAAAAGTACAAAGATTCACAAAATGTTTAGGGGTATGCGTACCCCTGCAGCCCTCCCCCAGAAAAAAGCACACACACTCTCTCTCATCTATCTATATCTATCTATCATCTATCTATCTATCTATCTATCTATCTATCTATCTATCATCTATCTATCATCTATCTATCTATCTATCTATCTATCTATCTATATCTATCTATCTATCTATCTATCTATCTATCTATCTATCTATCTATCTATCTATCTATCATCTATCTATCTATCTATCTATCTATCTATCTATCTATCTATCTATCATCTATCTATCATCTATCTATCTATCATCTATCTATCTATCTATCTATCTATCTATCTATCTATCTATCTATCATCTATCTATCTATCATCTATCTATCATCTACCACAAAAACCTAGTAGTGCCTCAGAGTTCTGATCTGTCTTTTTCTTTCAACCTTCTTTCTTGGGGATGAGTTAATGCAATTGGCTTTATTTATTTATTGCATTTGTACCCACCTTTTTTTACTCCACAAGGTGGTATATATGCTTCGGTTTCTGCTCATTTAATCCCCACAACAACCCTGTGAGGCAGGTTAGCTTGAGAGTTAGTGAGTGGCCCAAGGTCACCCAGTGAGCTTCATGGCCAAGCCGTGATTTGAACTCTGGTCTCCTAGGTCCTGGCACTCTACCCACCACACCACACTGGCTCTCCTCTACAGCCATGTAGCTTTGAGCTGGAAACAGACAATAGCTTTTTAAGGAGCATTTATGGTAGTGGGTTCCAGGCTTCATATTCCATGGCACAAAGCAGGCATGAGCAGAAATACACAGTTCCTCTTCATGGTGAAATCATTCCCCTTCACCAAAACATTGCACTGGGCAGTGGAAGCTGAATTGCAGCCTTCCACAACCTGGTGCCTTCTAGATGTTTTGGACTTCAAATCCCATCAGTCCCAGCCAAATGAGATTGCACCCACTCCCCCCTGAACCTTCAGTCATTCAGGGGTCCTCTTTACACAAAACCCAATGGTGTACCCCCAAACATATGTGCAAATGGGATTCTTGAATGCATGGAAGATGGCCATAGGACCACTCCTTTCTAAACATCCTATTTCTCAGTGACTGACTAGAAGCCTATGGGAAGTCCACAAGGATTCCCAGCAACTAACATACAGTATATAGAGGCATGCTGCCTCTTATAGTGGAGGTAGAACCCAGCATCATGGATAGTAGCCATTGATAACCCTATCTTCTATGAATTTGTCTAATCTATTGCTAAAGCCCTCCAATTTGGTGGCCATCATTACATACAGGAATGGTTTAACTCATGTGTTGTGTAAAATATGCTGTGTGAGCTGGATTTAACTTCTAAGAGGATGTCATCCTGATGTATCTTTTCACATTCAGTAATTGCTCCAATTTTGGCCACGTGGAAATTCACCCCTTGTCTTTATCTATGACTTCCAAGCTTTTGCACTTCAGTTGTGGGGATGTTTAACAAAAACGAGGGCAGAAAACACAGCACACTAGTGATTTGAGAGCCCGGTGGGGAAACCTGACAAAAACCAGCCTGATTTTCAGACGCAAGTGAAGCATCTCTCTCTCATGACAATTGCATACTCCTTGTAACTGTGTTTTATGATTGTTGCTGACTGGGAAAGGGAACATTTGAGTTTCCTGGGCTAATCCCACTCCATGTGAAAAGATGCCCGACACAGCTTACAAGTCTGACTGCAAGAGAGGGAGTTGTAACAGTGAATTCTCAAAATACTTCCATGCTCAGGAGATTTCTGAGTCTAGATTAGATGGATGACATTTGTTTTCTGATTTTATTCTTTTTAATGTGTGCATAGGGGAGGGATGTGATTCATTCCTAGTCACATTTTCTTATATGCATGCCTGTTGCTTAAGAATTGACTGGTTTGGGTTTTTTTTAAAATATATACTGAATCTTGTATCTCATGCAGTTTAGGCTAGATCATGAGTAGGCAAACTAAGGCCCGGGGGCCAGATCCGGCCCAATCGCCTTCTAAATCCAGCCTGTGGACAGTCCGGGAATCAGCATGTTTTTACATGAGTTGAATGTGTCCTTTTATTTAAAATGCATCTTTGGGTTATTTGTAGGGCCTACCTGGTGTTTTGACATGAGTAGAATGTGTGCTTTTATTTAAAATGCATCTCTGGGTTATTTGTGGGGCATAGGAATTCGCTCATCCCTCCCCCCCGCAAAATATATGTGGCCTCCCACAAGGTCTGAGGGACAGTGGACTGGCCCCCTGCTGAAAAGGTTTGCTGACCCCTGGGCTAGATTATAGCCCTGCCTGCTTCCTCTGTGCCGAATTTCTACTGTGGAGGAGTTTATTTCACAGAAAGGAACTTTCAAAAATATTATTCTCTTTCACCTTTAAGTCCTGCCCATTCTATGATGTTACTCCATTGTAGTGTGGCAGCTAAGATAACTCAGTTGTGAACAAGGAAGCCCCAGAGTCAAATCTTGCCTGAACCATACAACCAGTAGGGGACCCAGTGGCGGAGCTTCATGCTCCGGCACTGGGGGGGAGGCTAGAGCAGGTGGGGGCGGGGCTGGCACGTGTCCCGGGGGCGTGGCACACCACCCACAGAGGTGTGATGCACGTCCTGGGGGCATGGCGTGCTGCCCAGTGCGGGTGGGGGGCAGCCACAATGGCACCCCACCATCCATCTCCCCAGTCTGCACCCACACAATATGGAATAAGAATACTGGCTGGTCCTACAGGATTATTTACAAGTGTTAGATGGAGCATCCATGATCTACTTTCATCACTCTAAAGTGCTAATTATGAGCTGCCTATTTGGCCACAGGGCAAGATATCAATCTAGCAGATTACTATATGCTAATTATGATGGTGATTGTGCAAACTGAAAATTACAGGGCTGCTGAGTTTCCACAAGGAAGTGCATATCAGAGCCGATGCTGCAGCGCACCTCTAGGTGTCGTGCCAGCAAGGGCCATAGCTCAGTGGTAGAGCATCTGTCTTGCAAGCAGAAGGCCACAGTTTTAGTCCCCAGCATCTCCAGATCGGGATGGGAGAGACTATTGTCAGAAATCCTGGAGAACTGCTGCTGTAAGGCTTGGGTCTCCCCCCCCCCCCAAGATGGCTCTGGCAGTTAATTATTTCAGATTTACTGGCACTTTAAAAAGCCCTGGTTGGAGCTACACTAATTTCAGTCTTCCTCTGGTGACACAGTTGCACAGGAACTAAGCTCCGCCCCCTTTCCCCCAACAGGAAAAATGCCACCTTCTCTTCCGGGTAGTTTCTTGCTTCTCATTTAATCTCATGATTTACGAGATCTGGGAAATTGTACTCCCACTATATCTGTGTTTGCGTTACTATCTGAGCTCTGCAGCTGTATTCCTGCTCTCTGCGTTTCTCCTTCCTCTGTGTGTAAAGGTAAAGGTAAAGGTACCCCTGACCGTTAGCTCCAGTCGCGGACGACTCTGGGGTTGCGGCGCTCATCTCGCTCTATAGGCCAAGGGAGCTGGCATTTGTCAGCAGACAGCTTCTGGGTCATGTGGCCAGCATGACTAAGTGGCTTCTGGAGCACCAGAGCAGAGCATGGAAACGGCGATTACCTTCCCGCCAAAGCAGTACCTACTTATCTACTTGCACTTTGACGTGCTTTCGAACTGCTAGATGGGCAGGAGCTGGGACTGAACAACGGGAGCTCACCCTGTCATGGGGATTCGAACTGCCGACCTTCTGATCAGCAAGCCCTAGGCTCAGTGGTTTAGACCACAGTGCCACCTGTGTCTCGAGTACAAAGGTCAAATTCCTGTGGCTAATTGCTCCCCCCCCTTCTCTTAGGACTTCCCTCTGTTCTTCCACTGTCTCTGTCTCTGTCCTGCCTGTCAGAGAGTCCCGTTCTTTGACAGCTGCCAGTTCAGTGTAGACAATACTGAGCTAGATAGACCATGGTCTGATGGTACAAGACAGCTTCTTATGTTCCTATCCTACTTCATGAACATCCCTGAAATATTCCTGTCCCATATTTCTGTGAGAAGGTTTGACTGCTTTACTTTTTCCTCCTGAATTGCTTTGTTGGCCCAGGAGTGAGAGGCAAGAACGTCAGAAGAGCCCCTCTGGATCAGGCCAAAGGTCCATCGAGTCCAGCACCCTGTTCTTGCTGTGGTCAACCAGATGCCCCTATGGGGAACCTGAAAGCTGGTCTGAGTACAGCACTCTCCCCAGCAACTGGTACTGATGCTAGAAGTAATATATAGCCATCATGCATAGTAGCCATTTGATAGCCTTCTCCTCCATGATATTGTCTAACCCTCTTTTAAAGCCACCCAAGTAGATGGTTCTCACCATGTCTTATGTAGCAATTTCTGGTTTAATTATGTGCTGTGTGAAGAAGTACTTCCTTTTGTCTGCCCTGAATCCTGCAACACTCAGCTTCCTTGGATGGTCCCAATTGTGGTATTACACAAAAGGCAGAAAAACCTTCAGGTGCCATCCGAAAGGTGAGAGAGGGCTGCATTGGAGGAGAACTTGCCATCTTTCATCTAGGAGGAAGCCCCTCCAAATCATCCTTCCACCTGAGTGGCTTTGTGACACCAGCAGCCATTTTCCAACTCCCTCTTTCTTCTCAGGCCTACTTGCATGCTTAATTATCTTCACACTTCCTGTAATGAAAAGGGCAAATATTGTTGTGGAACAGGCCTGAAAACAAATGATTGGGAGTCAATACGGACATTTGGGAGGGAGCAAGAACCAGGACAGATATTGCCTGGTTTAGAATGGTCTGACAGTGCAGGATCAGAGGAACCAGGGACAGAGGCCAGGGATGGAAAGAGAGAGGATGCAGAGGCCAAGGGTACAAAAGGCAGGGTAATACCAGCTTTGTGACCACATCACCACTCAGATTCCCGCACTTCGATGGACAAGGGACAATAATGAAATTTTACCACCTTATCCAGCATGCTCTGCTGCAAAAATACAACAAACCCCCTTCCTCTTTACTTTCTTCTGGACTCAATTTTTTGCACATAGCACCTTCAGCTGGGAGAGTTTCCAGATGCTATGCTGACCACTCCTCCTGAATTTCAAACTGATTTTCATATCCTGCAGCATTCCTGGGCTTGCTTATTACCAAAATGTGCATTATCTGTCAGCGACCTAAAGTTACGGATGTGATTAACCACTCACTTACTTGGAGCAAGTGGAATCTTGATTCATTTAATTTAGAATAGCTAAAGCTGTTGACTGCTTGCCATCTGCTCTTTCTACCTGCTGGGGATGGAGATGCCATCACAGGTACCAAACAGCTTAGAAATTTCAGATAAAAATCTCTCAGGGTTCCTGCTTTGCATGTTGAGAGCCAGTTTGTTGGCTTTCAGTGTTGCTAGGGTCAGAATAATTCTCCATAAAACTATTTTTAGCCAGGCAGAGTCTCTGCAATTCCATATGCAACTATTGACAGACTCTGCAATAAAGAAGAGAAACAGGCAGTAGATATGGCATTAATATTTCAGTGTCTTTTATAGAACCATGGGGTTGGAGGGGCTCAAAGGCCATTTAGTCAAAATCCAGCAGTAAGGTACAGCCATCCATCCGCCAGCTTTCTCATTCTCCCTGGCAGAACTAAATTGCACAATTTGGTTCACCACTGCAGTGAACCTAGGAAAAGAAAAGAAAAGAAAAGAAAAGAAAAGAAAAGAAAAGAAAACAATGTCTCTGATATTTCAAACAATAGAAGCAATTCTCCTCACTCCACTCCACCCTTCATTACTAAGTAATGTGTCTTGGGAGAGACACAGAAAACTTCTTATACCAAGTCACACCCTTGGTCCATCTCGCTCAGTATTGTTACAAGTTTGAGGGTCAGTCTGGATGATGCCCTGAGTCGCTTCCAGTTCTTGGGATCCTGTATCTGTGCAGGTAGAACATATGAGAGCCAGCTTGCAAAATCTATCCCTTTGTCTAGGTAATGGTTTGGGCTAATGATTAGCACAGCAAAAGAAGTTACACTGTGATGTAAAACAAATGGATGTGTCTTTCCTCCCTCACCTAGCTGCTAGGTAGAACAATAGCCAGAGTTGCATAGGTGAGCAGAGATGGAAGCAGGCTGGAGGCTGGGGAACCAGAGACATGCTTGCTCTGTGCTGCATCCAAAGTTGTGCCTGATGGAGAAGCAAGAGGGTTATTAATGCTGCGAGCCCCTCCATATTATGCTTAGGTTCTGTATATGTGCAAATAAAACAATATATCTTAAAGACACCATAGACACCTCACCCCACAATGACCCCAAACCACTACAACTCTGCTAAGCTACACATTAAGAAGTTCAAATCTCGCAAAGGAAGATATTGGCTTAACTTTTAGCAGGCACAAACATGGCGGTCTTTACTGCTTGACTGGATCACATTAATTTGGTTCTTCTTGTATCTTCAGCGTACCTATCAGGGGAATTTTTTTTGCTTGACACTAGCCTGCTCTGCCAATGGAAGCACTGAAGCAGAACTAACCAATGAAAAGGTGAAACAATGGATGCAGATAGTGCAGAGCATAAGACCATGAACATGCAGCCTTATTTCAGCTTCTCTCTCCCCTCATCTAGATCTATTTAGTGCACATTCCCAATGATATTCTTTGTGTCCAGTGATGGATATTCAGTTCACGCCAATACTGCAGTCGGCAAAGCAAGGGGTGGACATTTGAGTGTGCCTGTCTCTATTTCAAAATGATTGGGATGAGAGCCAATCAACTGAAGCTAAGCTGACAATTCTGGGCATAAGGTAAAAAGTTAAAAAGTAAAGGACCCCTGGATGGTTACGTCCAGTCAAAGGTTGCAACTATGGGGTTGCAGCGCTTATCTCGCTTTCAGGCAAGGGAGCCAGCGTATGCCTACAGACAGCTTTCTGGGACATGTGGCCAGCATGACTAAACCACTTAAGGCGCAATGGAACACCATGATGGAAACCAGAGTGCACAGAAATGGCGTTTACCTTCCCGCTGCAGTGGTACCTATTTATCTACTTGCGCTGGTGTGGTTTCAAACTGCTAGGTTGGCAGGAGCTGGGACTGAGCAATGGGAGCTCACCCCGTCACGGGTATTCAAACCACTGACCTTCCGATCGGCAAGCTCAAGAAGCTCAGTGATTCCTGGGCATACTGTTGGCGGATTATTGCTTGCCCAGGGAGGTGTTTTTTCAACTTTTTCTGAATGGGGTTGCACTCTGAGACCCGGCTTTGTTTCTATGAAAGCCCAAGTGACCTCAGAAGAACAGAGGGCCTTCCAGCAGCAGAGGCTATACACCAGCTTGGAGGCTTTCCAGCTGGATCTTATGATATGCATTTATACTATACTGTTTAGTAAGTTCTGTGTTGCAAACTGCCCTGTAGTCTTTTGAAAAATGACCATATATAAATCTTAAATACTGCTATTACTAATACGGTGTTGCTTAAGTGCTCCAATGGTTCAAGGCTATATTCAGCTTCTTCGTTTTTAGAAAGTTTGTTCATTGACAAGAGATACAAACTTTGTTTCTTGTTGTGATGGGATTATGAGCTGCTTGTGCGTAAAATCGTATTCCCTCAGAGTTTGTTCAAGTCCACAAACCTCTGTCTGTGACTGAGCCCCTCTGACATGGCTCCTCTAGTCACTAGAAGATTCCGACAGTGGTTGCTTCGTAGTCGCTTCCAACATAAAAGCTCCTTAACGGAAACACGTCTTCTGGACTCTCTGCGTGACAGTTTCCGGCGAGGAGTGGGTGTCGCTACAGGAGGTCCGGAAA